ACTGATGTGCATGAGTTCATTCTTTTGGGGCTGACCACCCACCCAGACCTCCAGGTCCCCCTTTTCATGGCTTTCCTGGCCATGTCCATGCTGACCCTTTTGGGGAACTTTGGGATCATTGTATTGATCAGGACTGATCTTCACCTTCACACCCCCATGTACTATTTCCTCAGCCATTTGGCTTTTGTCAGCATCTGCTACTCCTCCATCATCATCCCCAAAATGCTGGTGCAGACTTTGACACTGGAGAAAACCATCAGCTTCTTGGGATGTGCAGCCCAGCTCTGCATCTTTCATAGAATCATAGAATCGTTAGGGTTGGAAAGGACCTTAAGATCATCTAGTTCCAACCCCCCTGCCGTGGGCAGGGACACCTTAGGCTAAATCATATCACCCAAGGCCTCGTCCAACCTGGCCTTTGTCATATTTGGGGTCATTGAGTGCCTCCTGCTGGCTGTGATGGCCTATGGCAGGTATGTGGCAATCTACAAACCCCTCATGTACCCCACCATCATGTGTGGATGGATGTGCTGGTGGCTTGTGGCTGGTTCCTATGCTGTTGGTGTCTTCCATGCGGTGACCCACACCACTTTCATCTTTACCTTGTCCTTCTGCCACTCCAATGTTATCAACCACTACTTCTGTGACATTGCCCCACTCTTAGCTCTCTCCTGCTCCAACAGCCACCCCTACAAGGGGGTCATCCTTGCTCTCGTCAGCATAAACTGCCTCAGCACCATGACCATCATCTTTATCTCCTATGCTTACATCCTCCCCTCTGTCCTGAGGATATGCTCAAAGGAGAGCAGGAGAAAAGCCTTCTACACTTGCACATCCCACCTGATGGTCGTCACCACGTTCTATGGGGCAATCTTGTTCATGTACCTGCGCCCCAGCTCCACCTTTGCGTTGGATGAGAACAAAACTGCCACGTTGTTCTACACCATCATGACCCCCACGTTGAACCCCTTGATCTACAGCCTGAGGAACAGGGAGGTGAAGGCTGCCCTCCTGAGAGCAGCTGGGAGAAGGCAGTGAATGGAGGAAGCTGGTGACCAGGAGGGTGTTTCCTTGTTGCTGTTATTGAGCAGGACTCATTGCAGCACGGAGGTCTCTGTGAAGGTGTATTGAGGTGATTACTCTGTAATTTCTCTCTCATTTATAAGGTATCTGACACTGATTTGTCTTGTAACGCCTGCCTAGATGAAGGTGGGTGAGATGAAGCCCAACCTCATTCATCACCAATGGTCAATGAGCACAAACAGCTCCTCCAAACACCTTGATTCATCCTATTCATCACATTGCTCTCTTCAGTCACTACAGAGACAGCATGGACTACCCTGGGCATGGGTTTCCAGGTTGCCAAGGTTCAGAGGTGAACTCAAAAGAAAAGCCAGAAACCCTCTTCTTCTGGAGTGTCTCTGAAACCCAGTGCCTACCAGCCTGGGTGAGAATGGAATGGACCCAAAGGACCACAGGACATCATATAATCAGTTAATAACTCAATCACACAATGTTCCACTGTACTTTCTCATGATAAGGCTTGTGGCACTCTTAAATAAAGCTTTCCCACCCAAAACTTGGTTCCTACAAGTGAAATTGCAGGTTAAGCTGGAGGTGTTTTGTGCTTCAAAATGTCACAGTCAGTGTTGGTGCTACTTTACCTGGAAGCCTTTGGGCAATTTGAGCCTTGTCTTTGCTGCTCTTTTGCAGACGGTGTGGAAATGTAAAGAGCTTAATCACAAGTTTGGTCAATATCCATTGTTTCAGCAGTGATTGAATCATCAGTGTTGGATTTCCCAGCTCTTGAAGCTGATTCAGAAGTAGGCCTTTTACATAATTCACCAGTAAGTTAAAGAATGGAGATTGATGTGGATATCCTGAAGGGCTCCCTCTTAAAGAAGCAAACCCAGATAAAAAATACAAGTAAACATCTTTAAAGTTGGGATAAACTATGTTCTTGCTCAAGTAAATCTTTCAACGAGTGGGTATTTCTCCCCACCCATAAGAAACAGGCACCTTTATGTGTAATTCACTCTGCTGTAACTCCAGTCTCTAAAGCAAATCACATGAATCACAGCCCAGAAATGCCTGTTTGTGTCCCAGCAATGGAAATCTGTGTGCATGTCTGTATTTATATGGATATCTAGGATCACGAGATGAATCCTGGAATCCCAGAGTGGTTTGGGCTGGAAGGGAACTTAAAGCTCATCCAGCTCCAACCCCTGCCACGGGCAGGGACCCCTTCCACTGGAGCAGCTTGCTCCAAGCCCCTGTGTCCAACCTGGCCTTGAACACTGCCAGGGATGGGGCAGCCACAGCTTCTCTGGGCACCCTGTGCCAGCGCCTCAGCACCCTCACAGGGAAGAGGTTCTGCCTCAGAGCTCATCTCAGTCTCCCCTCGGGCAGGTTAAAGCCTGTCCCCTTGGCCTGACCCTACAGGCCTTGGTCCAAAGCCCCTCTCCAAGGAGAAGGATCCATGCAGGAAGACCAGCTTTATTTCAATTTGGTTTGGTTTAGTTTAGTTTTCAGTTTAGTTTTTATTTATTTTAATATTTCATATTATTTTATTTCAATTTATTATTCTAGTCTACTCTTTATTTTAGCTAAGTTAATTTATTTTAATATACATTTTTGTTTGCTTTTTATGTTTAATTTTAAAGTTATATTTTATTTGTATTATTTTTAATTCTTAATCATTTTATTTTTTTATTCCATTTTTTAATTTATTTTATATTTTATTTTCATATTCCTCTGTCATCCATCTATGCACCCCCCCCATGCACACACATATATGTATGACAGAGTAATATAATAATAATTGCACTTCTCCCAAAGGAAGTTCTGCAAAACACTTCTCAGCCAAAGCACCTCGGAGGTCTCAGTGGATTAGAGAGAAGGGTTATAAAGCAATTACACCATCAGGGGGGACAGAGAGAGCATATAAGTGTCCTCGTCATCTGTCGTAACTTAATGTGAAGCAAGGAAGAAGAACCAAGCTGTCACTGGTAAGGACAAGGGGACATCCAGATTTGTTTTATTGCTGGAGCTAGGAGGTAGTTTATAATTTTAAGGGGCTATATAGTATCATAGAATCCCAGAATTGTTTGTGTTGGAAGGGTGCTTAAAGCTCATCCAGTTCTAACCCCTGCCAAGAGCAGGGACCCCTTCCACTGGAGCAGCTTGCTCCAAGCCCCTGTGTCCAACCTGGCCCTGAACACTGCCAGGGATGGGGCAGCCACAGCTTCTCTGGGCACCCTGTGCCAGTGTCTCCTTGTGCAATACAATGCATAATTCCTTGCAGGAAGCAGGATAGCAGGAGAATGGTTTCATCCTTTAGAGATGAGGGAGAGGAATTTGATTGTTCTGGGTTGTATCTTTATTAGACAGACCATGAGGAACTGTTTATTTCATGGCAGAGCAAGAGAACACCAGAAGAAGGAAGATCACAGAGCACGTGGATTTTGTGAAGGGTGTTGAACCAGTTATAATGGTTTGGTTATTTTTTAATAGCAGTAGATAGCAGCTAAAATACCAGTTATAATAAATCCTTTATCACTGCAATGCCGGTGATCCCACCCTGATTAATTCTGTCATGCTGCAGGTTGTACATAGAGCTAAACCCCATGTGCTTCTTCCATAGGGATAAATGGTTTATCTGATTTTCCTTTCTGAATATAAGCCAGGCTCTTTGATACCAGTTTTACAGGGATTGCTGATGGGAAAGCTGTGCTCATTGCACTGCAGAGATTTGCTGACAGTGACGCACACCCCATGAGCAGCACAGTGCTTTCCATGATCTTAGGCTAATATTGATCTGCTATTCCCAACAGTTTTCCTGTCTTTTTTCTTGGTCTCTTCCAAGTGTTTATGTTACAGTGGTTCCTTGTGGACCCCTGTGGAGGCTGCTCCATATCCCTCCCTGATTCTGTGATTAAAAGGCAGGATGCCATGGTGTATTTTCATAGAACTCTTAAATATGGATTTTAGAAAGAGGAGGTTTAGGAAAAGTTGATAAAAAGGAAAAGATTTGTTGTGCCATTTTTTGGTTTTAATGGTTTCTTTTCTCCCTCATGATGGCACTTCACCATTTCTATATACCAAATAGAAGAATAACCCTGAAATAGCAAAACAGATGAAAAGTTACTGAGGAATAAATGGGGTTTTCCTGTTTCATCTACAGTGTGCAAGCAAAATCACCTTTAAGGAAAACCTCTATGGGGAAGGCTTCCTAAAATGCCAAACGTTCTATTCTTCTTCAAAGGTTGGATTTGATGATCTGAAAGGTCTTTTCCAACTCAGTTGATTCTATGATTCTAAGTCCTAGAATTACAGAATCACAGACTGGTTTGGGTTGGAAAGCACCTGAAGTTCAGCTAGTTCCAACCTCTCAGGCTTGGGCAGGGACGTCTCACACTAGACCGTGTCACCTCTAAAAAGACATGGTCTAGTGTGAGATTTTCATTATTGATGTCACTAATTCTTTACAGGAAGCACTGAACCCCTTCTTTTACACTTTCTTTGTTAGAACTTGGGAGGGTTACCCTGGAGTGTGATATATACCATGAGTATACATCAGGGAGATGTGTTTTAGAATGAATGGAATAGGAAACACTTGGCAGAGTGACTGCTACCAGAATAAAACATTCATTGCTTTGCTAAACTGTTTTTTGATGAATGTTGATGCAAATGAAGCAGATCTCTGATAAGGAGAGGGTTTGCCATCCAAACCCTGGGGATTGATGGGCTTTTTAGGTGCTGAGTGTCTCCATTAACTGTTTATTATGGCTCTATGAATACAGCTTACAGTGCTTTAGGAGAAGATGGCTGAGGAAAACCAAAGCAAGCAAGTGACAGAGCTGACTCTTGTCGGACTGATGGACAACCCGCAACTGCAAGCCCCTTTGTTCATCCTGTTCCTCCTCATTTACTTCATCACGCTGGTGGGGAACCTGGGCATGGTTGTGCTCATCAGGAGCAGCGCTCAGCTGTAGACCCCCATGTACTTTTTCCTTAGCAACTTATCTCTCCTCGATGCTTGCTACTCATCGGTGGTGGCACCGAGGATGTTAATGAACCTTCTGATGGAGAAGCAAACAATCTCTGTCATCGGCTGCGCAACCCAGCTTTACTTCTTCATAGCCTTTGGCACCACCGAGTGCTTCCTCCTGGCTGCGATGGCGTACGACCGCTACATGGCCATCTGCAAGCCTTTGCTGTACTCGGCCATCATGTCCCACCGGCTCTGCATGCTGCTGGTGGCCATTTCCTATGTGCTTGGCCTGCTGAACTCCTGGGTGCACACAGAGTTTGCCTTCAGCCTACCTTTATGCCAGCCAGCCAAGGTCAACCACTTCTACTGTGAAATCAGGCCTGTTCTGGCCCTCTCCTGCTCTGACACACGTGTCAATAGGTGTCTGATATTTGTCCTTGGTGGGCTGGTGGAGATGGTGACCATCTTGGCCGTCCTGGTCTCCTACGCCTTCATCCTCGCTGCTGTCTCAAGGATCAGCTCTGCTCGGGGCCGGTACAAAGCCTTCTCCACGTGCACCTCTCACCTGGCTGGAGTCACCATCTTCCACGGGTCCATCCTCGCCCTGAACTTCTGACCAGGGTCTGGCAGCAGCCTGAGCACGGATAAGGTCTTTGCTGTGTTCTACTCGCTGGTGGTGCCCATGCTGAACCCCCTGATCTACAGCCTCAGGAACAGGGAGGTGAAGAACGCCCTGAGGGACTTTGTCAGCTGGAAGTAGCTTTGGCAGGATGTTTAGCTGCTGGTTTTGTGACAAAGGTCTCCAGAGCTTCAGTTGACACCAAGGACTTTTGTTTCCCCACCCTATTCCTTCACCTTAAAGATCTGGTTTGGAACCATTTCCAAGTCTGTCTTTCTTCCTATGACTGGCTTGTTGTCCTGGGTTCAGCAGTAGCAGTCATGTTTCTTTTTTGTTTTTGTTTTTTTTTTTCCTTTGTGCTAGCTGGTGCAGTGCTGTGTTTTGAGTTCCAGCCTGAGAACAGTGTTGGTGAAGTCGATGTTTTCAGTTGTTGCTAAGTGATGTTTACCCTGACCAAGGACTTTGTGAGGCTCATGCTCTGCCAGGGAGGAGGGGAAGCCGGGAGGAAGCAGAGATGGGGCGCCTGACTCGGGCTAGCCAGGGAGGTATTCCATACCACAGCACGTCATGGCTGGGGTGGGGGGTGACTGGGAGTTACCCGGAAGGACATGGGCTTCCGGGGGGAACTCGTCTTCTTGGCCGGTGGTATCGTATTCTCTTCCCTTGTTATTTTCCCTTATCATTGTTGTAGTTGATAGTAGCGGTGGTGATTTGTGTACTTTGGTTGCTGGACTGTTCTTGTCTCAACCCGTGGGAGTTGCACTCTTTCGATCCTCCTCCCCGTTCCTCCGGGAGTGGGGGAGAACCCCGGTGGGGGGGGGGGACACGAACCTCGATTGTTGTCAGCTCGGCACCACTCACTGGGAGTGAGTGAACAAGTTACCTGACTGGGTTTAAACCACGACAGTTCTTTTTTGGCACCCAACGTGGGGCACGAGGGCTTGAGATAAGAACAGATCTGTCTGGATTGATAGTCACTCGTCACAATGCTGATTTATTGGCTCTCAAGGTTGTTCCTCTTGATTTCACAGTTTCAGTATATCATATCTTACGTCCATCCGGTATTTGCTGTATTAGTGTTTTTCAAGTGTGGGGCTTGGGCTAAGGTTTTTGTCCCATTGTACTTTATGGTAATGACTTGTAATACAATAGAATCATTGATCATGAAACTGATCTGGCTTATGTTCCCAGTGTGGTCACCACCTTTATACTTTGGGAGGTATATGATGGAGGTGCTTAGCAATTACACATCTTTTTTCTCCTTCTCAGGTGCTCAACCTGTGAAGGAGACATTCTTTTACCCTCCCAGTCGTCCCCCCAGACCATTTACATTTGAGAGTTTTGAATTTTTTGAATGGCATCTTAATGCTGTTGAGACTTGTTTGCTGATGGTGATGGGAATCACCATGCTAACACGGATACAGAGTGTGTTTTGCCCACTGCTGATTTCAAGAGTTAAGCAGAGTCAGGTTTGGGTCTTGTCTGGGGTCAAACGACGATGTAGGAGGACCGAGAGATTTTCCCTGAGGCTGGACAGCCATGAGTGGCAGGGTGTGTGGGATAGTATGGGCAAGTATCTAGGTCAGTGGGCCCCTCCAGTACTTTGGAATTTCACTACCGAACAACTGCAAAATCCAGAAGAATTAGTAAAACACTTAAATGAGGTGTGTGGTCATTCTGGCCATACCAGAGATGGACAAATCACGGCAACATGCTGGGGCTTGGCCTATGCTTACAGGGCCTTGTTCAACACTATCCAGCACCTTCAAAAGGAAATCCCAGTCGTCCAGGCATTCTAGAAGTCATCATGGACTGGCCAGAGGGCAAAGATTTTGGAATGTCACCAGAGGAGGAGGTGGTGCGCGCTGAAGAGGCCCCACCATATAATAAACTGTCAGAAAGTGAAAAGCAGTATGCCTTGTTTACTGATGGTTCTTGCCATATTGTGGGAAAGCATCGGAGATGGAAGGCAGCTGTATGGAGTCCTGGACGACAAGTTGCAGAAACTGCTGTAGGAGAGGGTGAATTGAGTCAATTTGCCGAGGTGAAAGCCATCCAGCTGGCCCTGGACATTGCTGAACGAGAAAAGTGGCCAGTACTTTATCTCTATACTGACGCATGGAGGGTGGCAAATGCCCTGTGGGGGTGGTCGAAGCAATGGAAGCAGAGCAACTGGCAACGCAGAGGTAAACCCATCTGGGCTGCTGCACTGTGGAAAGATATTGCTGCCCGGGTGCAGAACCTGGTGGTGAAGGTACGTCATGTAGATGCCCATGTAGCCAAGAGTCGGGCCACTGAGGAACACCAGAACAACCAACAAGTGGATAAAGCGGCTAAGATTGAAGTGGCTCAGATGGACTTAGATTGGCAACATAAAGGTGAATTATTTTTGGCCCGGTGGGCCCATGACACTTCAGGCCATCAGGGCAGAGATGCAACATATAGATGGGCCCGTGATCGAGGGGTGGACTTAACAATGGACACTATTGCCCAGGTTATTCATGAGTGTGAAACATGTGCTGCAATTAAACAAGCCAAGCGGTTAAAGCCTCTTTGGTATGGAGGACGATGGTTGAAGTATAAATATGGGGAGGCCTGGCAGATTGACTATATCACACTGCCACCAACCCGCCAAGGCAAGCGCCATATGCTTACCATGGTGGAAGCAACCACCGGGTGGCTGGAAACATACGCTGTGCCCCATGCCACTGCCCGGAACACCATCCTGGGCCTTGAGAAACAGATTTTGTGGCGACACGGCACCCCAGAGAGAATTGAGTCAGACAATGGGACTCATTTCCGGAATAACCTTATAGATATTTGGGCCAAAGAGCATGGCATTGAGTGGGTATATCACATCCCCTACCATGCACCAGCCTCTGGGAAAATCGAATGGTACAATGGGCTGTTAAAAACTACACTGAGAGCGATGGGTGGGGGAACTTTCAAGCATTGGGATACACATTTACCAAAGGCCACCTGGTTGGTCAACACCAGAGGTTCTGCCAACAGGGCTGGCCCAGCCCAGTCATTACTTTTACATATTGTAGAGGGGGACAAAGTTCCCGTGGTGCATATGAAGAATTTGCTGGGGAAGACAGTCTGGGTTATTCCTGCTTCAGGTAAAGGCAAACCCACTCGTGGGATTGCTTTTGCTCAGGGACCTGGATATACTTGGTGGGTAATGCGGGAAGATGGGGAAGTCCGATGTATACCTCAAGGGGATTTGATTTTAGGGGAAAACAGCCAGTGAACTCAATTGTATGCTGTTGCCTGCTGTGTAATGCTATTATAGCCCATCAACTAGATGTCTCCAGGTCACCAGCGACTGGCCCTGACTTCCCTCCAGCCATCATCCCAACAGAGAATGAACTTGGAACATCATGGACCGAATGGACTCGGCAGCATTATAGGGATTGGTCCATGCACTAAGAAAATGATTTTTTCCTCTTGGTCTGTATGTATATGGATGTATATATGTGGGAGAGCGATGGTGTATTGAAAATGTGGGATCTGAGCACGACGTGAATGGTATGGAATAAGGGGTGGATAATGTCCTGGGTTCAGCAGTAGCAGTCATGTTTTTTCCTTTGTGTTAACTGGTGCAGTGCTGTGTTTTGACTTCTAGTTTGAGAACAGTGTTGGTGAAGCCGATGTTGTCGGTTGTTGCTAAGTGATGTTTACCCTGACCAAGGACTCTGTGAGGCTCATGCTCTGCCAGGGAGGAGGGGAAGCTGTGAGGAAGCAGAGACGGGGCGCCTGACCCGGGCTAGCCGGGGAGGTATTCCATACCACAGCACGTCATGCCCGGGGTGGGGGGTAACTGGGAGTTACCCGGAAGGACAGGGGCTTCCGGGTGGAACTCGTTTTCTTGGCCGGTGGTATCGTATTCTCTTCCCTTGTTATTTTCCCTTATCATTGTTTTAGCTGATAGTAGCGGTGGTGATTTGTTGCTGGACTGTTCTTGTCTCAACCCGTAGGAGTTGCACTCTCTCGATCCTCCTCCCCGTTCCTCCGGGAGCGGGGAAGGGGAGAGCCCCTGTGCAGGGAGGGGGGGAGACGGACACGGACCTTGATTGTTGTCAGCTCGGCACCACTCACTGGGAGTGAGTGAACAAGTTACCTGACTGGGTTTAAACCACGACAATACGTAAGGGTCCTGAAGGTTCGATCCGCCATGTCTTCTGTAGCTCTGGTGCTTTCTTAATTCTTGAATGATGTATCCAAGCAGGTTGTTCCTTTATCTTCACTGCTGTAAAGGTGGTCAGTAATATTGTAGGGGAGTCGTAGAAGAGTCATAGTGTGGTAGAGGAGGCATAGAGGAGTCAGATGGCTAACAGACGGCTCTTAGAGCAATCTTAGGAGTCATAGCAGAGTCACAATGGGGGTCATAGAGGGGTCATAGAGGCATCATAGTGGCATCATAGAGGTGTCATAGAGGAGTCATAGAGGAGTCGTAGGGGAGTCATAGAGGAGTCATAGAGGTGTCATAGAGGAGTCCTAGAGAAGTCATACAGGAGTCCTGGATGAGTCATAGAGAGGTCATAGAGCAGTCGTAGAGGAGTCATGGAGGGGTCATAGAGGACTCATAGATGGGTCATTGAGTGGTCATAGAGGAGTCACAGAGGGGTCATGGAGAAGTCATAGAGGAGTCATAGAGGTGTCATGGAGGATTCATGGAGGAGTCATAGAGGAGTCATGAAGGAGTCATACAGGAGTCTGAGAGGAGTCTTGATGTCAAAAGTCACAGAGATGTCATCGAGAAGTCATAGAGCAGTCATACAGCAGTAACAATGTAGTCATAGAGGAGTCATAGTGACATAGAGGAGTCACAGAGGTGTCATAGAGGTTTCCTAGAAAAGTCAGAGAGGAGTCACAGAGGAATCAGAGAGTCATAGGGCAGTCATAGAGAAGTCATAGAGTCATAGAGGAGTCACAGAGGTTTCATAGAGGTTACATAGAGGAGTCATAGAGGAGTCATAGACGGGTCATAGATG